TAAAATCCCGATTTATTACGATTTTTTTAATACAAAAAGCAGCATCCAATAGTCGATGGACTTTCAGATGAACCAGGTTTGTTTCAACAGGACGACCCGTAGGACTACTTTTTAATTATTATATTTTAAATAATATATAAAAATCAANTTTGATAAAATTTTCGATGTTGCAATTTTCATCGATAACTTGCAAAATTCGCTACAAAATTAATTTCTTGAAGAATCCTTGTGGAAATATCACCAATTATTAATAAAAGTATCCTCTTTTTAATGCAAAAAGCCGTTTTGAAAAGTCATATTTAGTTCTTGAGAAATAAATTTTTGAAATACTCGAAAATTTTTTCGAATTTTTCAATTTTCGCCGATTAAGTTGTAAAAATTCGTATAAAATCCAGTTCTTGGAATATGAGTATGACAATTTCCCAGTGTTGATAAGAGTGTATCTTTCGCATATTCATGGAATGAACCTCGTAGAATTGTTAATTGGACAATCTAAAATATTGATGAAATCTTTCAGCATCGCTCTCAAGCTTTTTAACCAGACAGTGAAATTCGCCTTTAGCCTCTCTCTTTCTATTTACTGGATGCACCCAATATCTTCTCTCTCTTTCATGTTTTAGAAGAGTTGCCATTACCATAAAATGAATATCTTCTATACCTTCTACGATATTTTGAATCAATACAGTCGTAGCACTGAGAGAGTTCATACGTGGGTCTATAATGTTTTCCCATTCATATTCTGATTCTCATAATCTGAATCAGAGTGCTACGACTGTATTGATTCAAAATATCGTCAGAGTGCGTCAGAACACGACATATAGATGTGAACACTAACCATCACGTTAGAGAAATATAAATCCGGCTTTAGAACGCTAGGGTTTATCATAATATATAGTTTGGAGTTTACTGATTCAAAACCAATAATAGATCTTTATTTTACGCTAGTGTGTAGCAAACTTGAATATTGCTGCATTGGGTGGACCTTGTCTTATTTGACGCACAGAGAGAGTTCAGAGAAAATTTGTTAGGTTTATCCACTACCTCGATTGAACTATGTAGTACATCTACTATGACGTTATGGCCTCCAAAGTCTTGAGGATCGAAGAAGCTGTCTAGTTTTGCACTAGAACTAACATAAGACCTAGAACTAGAATCATTCGGGTTTAGCCGTCTTAAGAGACGTACGTCTAAATCCGAATGCTTTTAGTTCTAGGTCTTGTGTTAGTTCTGGTTTTAGTTGTTATTTATCGCTAAAACCTAGAACTAGAAAGTTTTGGGTTTAGTCATGCGTCTTTATAGTCTTAAGATTCAATTTAAAAAATTTTCATACAACTTTTGGCTATAACAGACACTTCCTTCCCCGTATTCGTTCATTATATTGAGGTTTTACTCTTAAAACATATCAACGCAGCTTGGTCATCTACATTTGCTTTAGACCATCTGACCAAATTAGTTTAAAAGCAAACAAAGAAAGGTAATTAAAACCTTTAACAAATTGTGGTCTTTCATTTAACGAAACGTAACCCAATACTCCATTACATTGTGTATATGTAGTTAGTGATTTTGTATAGTGCTAAAAATGTTTGGTCCAATGGACAGATGGCCTGGAGAATGGATCAAGCGCGTTTCCGAATTGAATTATTCAAAGGGAGCAAATAATTGCGGGGCGCCCGAGGGCTACGAAAGAGAGGGAGAACCAGGGGCAGCTGCCGCCCCCTCTTTTCCGTGCCGACGTCGTCGACGCTCGCGACGCCAACGACGCCAACATAACTACTATTTGTCGGTTGTACTTGACTTGAGGGACCATGAATAAATTGATTTTACCCGGTGGTTACACGCTCTCTGCAATTAACGACCGACAGTTTGAGTTTAGTAAACGTAAGGGACATTCGATATGCATATTCAAAATGTAAATTTATCTCATTTTGCATGCCTATAACAACATTTATTAGCAATAAACCAAAACTGTTTAACAAAAAGTGTTCAAAAAATTTAAAATTTTTTTATTGTTATTGTTATTACAATTATAGTAAGCACAANTAGAAATCTGAAAATATTTTAGATGAAGAGAACGTAATTGATAATACTTAAGTCTGCATTCTCAAATTTTTTGTTTGGCCAGAACCCCAGAAACGTCTAATGACCGGTCTCGCTGAGACACTCTGTATATCCCAGTATATCTACCCAGCAACATGGGTTTTGCAAAGGCGAATCCACAGCCACCAACCTACTCAGCTTTACTCAGTGCGTATCGAACGCACTAGATTGTCGAGGGCAGGTGGATGTGATATATACTGACTTTTCACGGGCTTTTGATTGCTTGGGCCATGGTTTGTTGGTTGAAAAGATGGAGAGGTTTGGATGTGACCACTTTCTCACACGACTTCTGGTATCTTATGTATTCGACCACAGGCTATACGTTGAGTTAAGTGGTATGAAGTCGTTAAGTAGGCAAATAAATGTTACTAGTGGCGTACCCCAGTTATCCATATTAGACCCTTTGCTGTTCAACATCCATATAAATGATTTACCTACGATTTTCAATAGGAATTTACTCCTATACGCAGAAGACCTGAAATTGTTTAGAATTTGGACAGACTTTATTTGTAGTGTTCTTAGAACAAATTAACGTTAAATACATTCAAATGTCAGATAATGAAATCCAAGGTTCCAACCTTCCAAATGCGTTATTTACACGAATTAAGAAGTGAAGATCCAGCAACATTCAAAAACTTTCTGCGTACGTCAGAAACCGACTTTAACTTTTTACTTTAACAAATTTCGGATAAAACAGCAAAATTAGATACAAACATGATACAATACATACATTCAGCTTTCGCTGAATTTCAGCCTCGCTTGTATCGAATTTACCCGCTATAAATTTTATTGCCTTTTGTTTCCTATCTCTATCCATGTATGCCATGTTTGCAATAATTCGGGAAACTCTTTAAAAACATCTATTAAAGTCAAAGTTTCCTCTTTTGACCATACGCGTTTGCACTCCATTTTAAAAACCTCCTACTCACTTCCACGAAAACTGCCAACTAGACGGAAATAAATTTTAACTTCATAACAGCTCCCCAAAGTTGTTTACACACGCAAGCGATTTATGTCGCGATTACTTGCCACCACTTCTGCGACTTGCTCTGTGAGAACTCTCAGAGAGTGTTTACACGTATAATTTTTTTTGGAAGTGCTATCAGACACAAGATTGCTGTCTGCAGGGTTTTGGGGGGATGTGATGTCGGGTGTGCTGGTTGCATCGGAAGTCTTGGAGACGAACGGCTAAAACTTTCTAGTTCCAGGTCTAGTGTTAATTCTAGTTTTACACTAGTACTATCACTAGAACTAACACAAGACATTCGGGTTTAGACGTCTTGAGAGACGTGCTAAATCCGAATGTTTCTAGTTCTAGGACTTGTGTTGGTTCTAGTTTTAGTTGTTATTCATCGCTAAAACCTAGAATTAAAAAGTTTCGGGTTTAGCCACGCGTCTTCATAGTCTTAAAATTCAAATTAAACAATTTTCATATAACTTTTGGCTATAACAGACACTTAGAAGTTTTACTCTTAAACAATCTCAATGCAGCTTGGTCATCTACATTTGCTTTAGACCATCTGACCAAATTAGTTTAAAAGCAAACAAAGAAAGGTAATTAAAACCTTTAACAAATTGTGGTCTTTCATTTAACGAAACGTAACCCAATACTCCATTACATTGTGTATATGTAGTTAGTGATTTTGTATAGTGCTAAAAATGTTTGGTCCAATGGACAGATGGCCTGGAGAATGGATCAAGCGCGTTTCCGAATTGAATTATTCAAAGGGAGCAAATAATTGCGGGGCGCCCGAGGGCTACGAAAGAGAGGGAGAACCAGGGGCAGCTGCCGCCCCCTCTTTTCCGTGCCGACGTCGTCGACGCTCGCGACGCCAACGACGCCAACATAACTACTATTTGTCGGTTGTACTTGACTTGAGGGACCATGAATAAATTGATTTTACCCGGTGGTTACACGCTCTCTGCAATTAACGACCGACAGTTTGAGTTTAGTAAACGTAAGGGACATTCGATATGCATATTCAAAATGTAAATTTATCTCATTTTGCATGCCTATAACAACATTTATTAGCAATAAACCAAAACTGTTTAACAAAAAGTGTTCAAAAAATTTAAAATTTTTTTATTGTTATTGTTATTACAATTATAGTAAGCACAAACTTAAACAAAACCACAATTTAATGTTAAATAATTACGTTTTAGAACGTTTTTAATTAAAAAAACATTTTCAAAATTAAGTTTTAAATAATCAAAATTCAAAAAATAATTTAGATCTAATCCCACTAGATGTCTATTCAACACAACTTTGACTATTCGACGATAGATGGCGCAACAACAAGAAAAGCTCCCTATCATTTGACGCATTTGACAGCGATGAGTCAAACTAAACGTCAAAATAACGACATTGTTATTAATTAAACAATCTACGATGTTTTTCTCCTTTAAATCGAAACCGTTCGGAGCGTAAAACCATCGTTAAACAATATCAAGGAGTATTACAAACTAAAAAATGGAGGAAAAATGAATAAATTGATTTTACCCGGTGATTACACGCTCTCTGAATTAACGACCGACAGTTTAAGTTTAGTAAACGTAAAGGGACATTCGGTATGCATATTCAAAATGTAAATTTATCTCCTTTTGTATTCCTAAAACAACATTTAATAGCAATAAACCAAAACTGTTTAACAAGAAGTGTTCAAAAAATTCAAAATTTTTTTATTGTTTTTGTTATTACAATTATAATAAGCACAAACTTCAACAAAACCACAATTAAATGTTAAAAATTACGTTTTAGAACGTTTTTAATTAAAAAAACATTTTCAAAATTAAGTTTTAAATAATCAAAATTCAAAAAATAATTTAGATTTAATCCCACTAGATGCCAATTCAACACAACTTACACTATTCGACGATAGATGGCGCAACAACAATAAAAGCTCCCTATCATTTGACGCATTTGACAGCGGTGAGTCAAACTAAACGTCAAAATAACGACATTGTTATTAATTAAACAATCTACGATGTTTTTCTCCTTTAAATCGAAACCGTTCGGAGCGTAAAATCATCTTTGAACAATATCAAGGAGTATTACAAACCAAAAAAATGGAGGCGGCCCCCCGATTGCCCATGATTAGCTTTCCATTTAAACAGAGCACCGAAAATGTTTCTTTCGCTCAACAATTAAAACCGGTGAGTTTAAACCCAATTTTCTTACCCAAATATATTAATTTCACCTTTAGTACATAGCTAATTTTTACCATGAAGACCCGGAGAGTTATTCAACAGAATTTAACCGCTTGGAGAGTCTACGTAACTCCTCGATGTTCCCACAACAATCCATTAACAGTTTACAATCCCAAAAACGATATTACGCCCAATTAAGTTTCTTAAAATCAAGATTTCCTATGCATGAAGGTCAACCGTGTGCTGTAATTTTTTCATGGAAAGATCCTTATTCTAATGCTTCTTGTGCTGTGGCTGATATCAAATTTGAAATGATGTGTGTTTTATATAACATAGCAGCTTTACATACTCAATTAGGTTCTGAAAGTCCTCGATCATCTTCAGAGGAAATGAAAATTGTTTGCACACATTTTCAATACGCCGCTTGGTGTTTTCAAACACTACGTGATAATTACTCAACAATGCTTAGTTATCATGATGCTGTTGAAATCACTCACGCAATGCAATTAATTTGTTTTGCCCAAGCACAAGAATGTATACTTGAAAAAAGCATGTTAGATAATAGAAAAGCCACAATTATAGCTAAAGTAGCCATGCAAGTAGTTGATTATTACAAACAAGCATTTGCTGCAATGCAGACATTAAGAGAAGATGCGGATGGTTTAAAAATCACTAAATACACCTTAAAATATCTTGCATTTAAATGCGAATATCACCGAGCTATCGCTTTACTTTATATGGGTCAACAATCTGAGGAACAACAAAAAATGGGCGAAAGGGTCGCGTTTTATCAAGCCTCTTTAGAACATCATGAAGAAGCTAGGAAATATGCTAGTAGTATGTCTTCTTCGCAAGTTGCACCTTTCAAAGAAGCATTAACGTTCACTCTTGATGTTATTGAGGGTAAAAGGAAGGCTGCTAAAAATGAAAATGAATTTATTTATCATGAAGAAGTTCCTAATAGAGATGTGTTACAAGAAATTAAAGGAGCTTCACTTGTTAAAGGAATTCCTTTTAATATAAATGATCCAGAAGTAAGTATTTTTTTGTTAATATCAAGTAAATAGAAATTTTAGTTGGTTTATTTTGAGTTATTTATAGTTTTATCTACAATGGATTGTGACTCATTCATGATAAAACTTGGTGATTGTTTAAAAATGTTTGTTTTTGTTTAAAAGTATTATATAGAGTATGTATTAAAGGTAGTGTGATAAACTTAATACTTAAGTAAAAAAACTTGAAATGCAATAAAAGTATATTTATTTATTTATAAAATGATGAGAAGGAGGAGGAATAATTAAAGGGGAATGCATTTAAAGGCGGATAATATATTATATTATTATCCTTAATAATCTGTTTTGTATCTAATCAAGAACACTGAAAATGAGGAAGTTTTGAACAAAAACATCCAAAATGAAAAAAGTAGCAAAAGTCTACATGATGTCTCATACTTTTAAAATCACTCCTATTCCATGGTCTCAACTGAAAGATGATTTTTTAGTTTGTGTTCTATACACTTAATAGTTGTAAATACAATTCCATGTCTTGAAAAGATGTTTTTGGCAACCACCCTGATATTTTGTAATTCTAAAATACAGTGTTCGCCAAAAAGTCAGCAACACCCGTTTTATTTCTGTTGTATTGCATCAACGTGCCTGAAATTTAGCTTATATGGGAGGCTTATACTGATCTTTCGATCTAAAGTATTTTCAAGATGGTGGCCACTTCCGGTCTACCGCAAGTAGACCTCAACTTCGTTATTTTCAATTGAATGTTATAATTTTTATTGCACCTTTTAATTGTATGCGAAAAAATATGTTGACTTTGATAAATATTACTGGTACCTAGCATTCTTCGTTTTCGAGTTATTTTGCTTTTAAGTTTTTGTTTGGTAAATGCAAAACTAAATGCTTTTAAAAGCCCATTTCTCAGACAATATTCATTCAATAAAGCTCTAACTTGGTACAATTACTCTTCAGATGATATCAAATTGATTGTCATTTGTTGTATCAGACTATCTTATACAGGGTGATCAAAAATTGAATTATCGTTTCTCCATATTCAATGGCACAAAAGCTGAAAATTTTAAATGGAACGCCCCATATTTTTTTAACCTAGGAGAGAGAGAATTAAATTTATAATCCTTTTGTTTTCATTGTTTTATTTATTTGTCTTCTGTTTGTTATTTTTGGTAAAAAAAAGATAGTAAACTAAAAGATTATCAACCAAAGTTAATTGTAAAAATAAATTCAACGAAAAACTGTCAAAATATCATGGCCTAATAAATGGCAAACTCCCTTTCTGGTGAGCTAATAAAATATGGGGCGCAGCATTTAAAATTTTCGACTTTGTTGCCATTGAATGCGGTAAAAAGGTAATTCACTTTTTGACCAGCCTGTATAAGATACTATGATACAGTAAATGACAATCTATTTGACAGCTTTTGAAGAGTAATCATGCCAATTTAGAGCTTTTTTGAATGAACGTTTGCTGAGATATGGAGTTTTAAAAATTTAAAATCAAAATAACTCGAAAACGAAAAACGCTAGGTACCAATAACTTTTATCAAAGTCAACTTATTTTTTCGTATATAATTAAAAAGTGCAATAAAAACTATAGCATTTCATTTAAAATAACGAAGTTGTGATCTACTTCCGGAGGACCGGAAGTGGCCACCATCTTAAAAATACTTTAGTTCGAAAGATCGGTATGAACCTCCTATATAAACTAAATTTCAGAAACGTAAATACAATGGAACAGAAATGAAACGGGTGTTGCTGACTTTTTGGCGGACACTGTATATGAATGTTTATCACACTACTTTAGATATACTTTATACAGTGAATTTCACTTAAAATGTAATATACAAAAATATATTTCTATAGAAACCAGGGACTGCTACATCCATTTTTATTTTGTAGTCCACTACAAAACACACCAACCTGTAGTACACTACAGGTTGGTTACCCACAGTCTACGTCACACTATTTGCCACGCCTAGTTAACTGTCATTGAATTCTATGCGTTTGCCGTGTGTTTTTAGAGGTTATTATGATAGTCATATGTTTATATACAACTGAAGAACGGGTACGTTTGCTTGGAGTGGTTATCGACGACACTCTTAAATGGAAATCGCATATTGATGCACTCTATAAAAAGTAGAGCAGTTTTTGCTACGCTCTACGTCAAATGAAAAAGTTGGTGAATGATCGCGTTATACATTTATGCTACCACGGTTGTTGCTATTCGCAAATACGGTTTGGTATCATAGTCTGGGGAGGCAACAGCGAATTACGTCGCGTATTTGTGTTGCAGAAGAGAATAATACGCACCATGCTCGGTTTAAGTTACGGACAATCGTGTAGAGGCAATTTTAGGAAAAATAGGTTGTTNGTGCAATAAAAACTATAGCATTTCATTTAAAATAACGAAGTTGTGATCTACTTCCGGAGGACCGGAAGTGGCCACCATCTTAAAAATATTTTAGATCGAAAGATCGATATGAACCTCCTATATAAACTAAATTTCAGAAACGTAGATACAATGGAACAGAAATGAAACGGGTGTTGCTGACGTTTTGGTCGACACTGTATATGAATGTTTATCACACTACTTTAGATATACCTTATACAGTGAATTTCACTTAAAATGTAATATACAAAAATATATTTCTATAGAAACCAGGAACTGCTACATCCATTTTTATTTTGTAGTCCACTACAGGTTGGTTACCCACAGTCTACGTCACACTATTTGCCACGCCCAGTTAACTGTCATTGAATTCTATGTATGTTCTCTCTTGTGTGTTTTTAGAGGTTATTATGATAGTCATATGTCAATACAAGATTTACTTTTGATGTTAATAAGAGTACGTCTACGATATAACCTCTTAAAAAACACAGCAAATGGATAAAACACAATAACAGCTGACTGGGAGTGGCAAATGGTGTGACGTAGTGTGCGGACACGTTATCACAACAATGGATGTAGCAGTCCTGTTAAATTCTACTGTCCTTAACTGTGTCCCACATAAAATGCAACATGTCTGAATGTTTCTGGTTGTAAGCCTAATGTTAGTTCTAGTGACAGCGCTAGTTTACATAAGATATCACTATATTCCATATTTTTATTGAACTAAAACTAGAACTAACACTAGACCTAGAACTAGAAAGTATCGGGTTTATTATTGCATCTGAAGACAGCTATAATTACTGTACTACTCCTTTTTTTTTTAATTGCGTGTCCAAATTAATAGACATAAATTCTTTCAACCTTAATTCAATAAAACTAATATTTGTTTTTGCAAAACTAACGACTTTTGTTGTTTGATTTGTGACTTCTATAGTTGCATGGTTTATAAGGAATACATTATTTAAAAATCACTATTAAATTGTGAACATTTCTGATCCTAGTACCTAAAGATATGATGTACGGGAACGATTTTTAAAATTTTCAAAAATATGTCTATTACCATCTAACTAAGAGACATGTGACTTTTTTCTTATTTTTACCAGAACAGGTATGGTTTGGCCTCTCGTCCGGTACCCGCTTGACGTTGAGTGTCAGTTGGGACATCCTGTATAAAGTTTATATTTGTGATGAAGGTCCTGGCTCTTCTGATATTGTTGATTTTTTGGCGAAGAAATCGTCCGGACTTTCTTTTTCGTTCATTAAGCAAATGTCGGCAGCAGGCGATCGCATCCAAAACTCCTCTTCTTGCTTTTGCACTCTTGTCAAAATTTGGGTCATTCGCTACAATTTGACCTACTTTTTCGGTTATCGTTTCCAAACTTTTTTTAACAAATTATTAGTCATTTCTTCGTCTTCAGAACCACTGTTTTCGCCTTCTTCAATTCCTTATTCTGCCAGTTCCTGAAGGTCGTCGTTGGTAAGCCCTTCACCAGAAACCTGTAGTAGCTCCTCAATATCCTCTAGTTATCTCCTAGTCCTGCTGTTTCGACTAGATTGACAATTTGACCAAAAATAGGTTCTTCTTGTTAATAATTCTGGGGTACCTCCGGCCATATCTTCTTCCACTTCTTAGTTAATTCTTGCCAAGCGACGTCGATATGCCTATGGCATCCAGAATGTTATATTTTTTCCAAAATTGCAAAATTGTTTCTTTATCTCCACCTTCTGAATTAACGACGCAATGACAAATGCTGCAATAATTTGAATCCGGCTATATTTTAAACATTTTTAAGGGTTATTATAAGAACGTTACCTTTTTCCAAGCAAAACTTTTCTTTTGCAAAACTACCCAATACCTGTACTATTAAGCTGTATTGCATTTTATGTGGGACTGTGTAAGTACTGCATTGATATATTGCGAGTTATATGAAATTCCCGGTATATATTTTGAACACATTAAATTTTAGATTTCAGGCCCTGATATTTTTGCACGTTTAGTTCCTATGCAAGCACATGAAGCGTCATCACTTTACAGCGAGCAAAAAGCCCAATTAATGCGTCGAATGGGCGAATTGATTGAAATAAAAGATCAAGCATTAGCCGAATTTATGTCCTCTTTGCAATTGGAAGTTCTAAATCAGGTAATTTTTCAACAAAGAATTCATTCCTTCATTAATTTTTATTTTCCTTTTAATGTAATAAGATTCATCAATGTAAAGGACTCCCTCAAGATATAATCGACAGAGCTGCAGCTTTATCAGCAAGAAACACAATTTGTCAAGATCTTTCGGCGGTGATGACAAAGCTTTCAGGTAGTTTTATTGATGTCGAAGCAATGTTACGCGACATCCAAGAATTGTTAAAAGAAGAAGAATCTAAAGAAAAAGAGTACCAAAGCTTAATGGGGAAAAGGCCACCGTCGATAATCGCTACTGATTTATCAAGGGAAGCCGCGAAATATCAAGAAGCTCATAACAAGGCATCCGATTCGAATCAAAATTTACATCGTGCGATGATGGCGCATGTCACGAATATTAAATTATTAGCGATGCCTCTGCAACAATTACAGCAACAGATACCGAGTATAGAGTTGCCTAATCCGAATATTGACGAAAAACAGCTTAGGGAAATACAAATGTTGTTGGGTAAAGTTGAAGAAATGAAATCACAAAGAATTATGTTATGGAATCAATTTCGTGAAGGTATTCATAAAGACGATATAACAGGGATTTTAGTAACGAAAAAATCATCGGAAAAATTAGATGATATTTTTACAAAAGAATTAATGAAACATAAAACAGCCTCTGAGTTAATTGAAAAAAATGTTGGTGCTCAAGATAACATCGCGAAAGCTTTAGTGGAAGCTTACGCCCAGTTTACTTCCGCCAGAAAATATATTCAAGATGTTACAACGAAAAGAAGTACTTTTATTACCAATTTAATCGCTTCTTACGACGCCATTGATGATCTGTTGAGCAAAGCAAACAAAGGAATTGAATTTTATAACAAACTAGAGACGAATGTAAGCAAATTATTCCAAAGAATTAAAAGTGCTTGTAAAGTTCAAGACGAAGAAAGAGAACAGATTTTATTAAAAAATAAAGAAGTCAAACCTGAACCTATTATTAGTGCAGGTTTAACAACAACCAGAGGTCCTAAACTCAAAGATTACTTAGATAACATGAAAGGTGATAAACTTTCAGTTAAAATGGATAATTTTAACCCAGTTTATGCAGTTGGATCAGATTCTTTATGGCCACCAGGTGTTAGACCAACTCCTGTTGGTTCTGAAATAACCACCACAGCTTCTAGCAACACTTATGTTGGTGGTGAACGCGTTGATTATAGTCAGCTAGCNTTTCAGTTAAAATGGATAATTTTAACCCAGTTTATGCAGTTGGATCAGATTCTTTATGGCCACCAGGTGTTAGACCAACTCCTGTTGGTTCTGAAATAACAACCACAGCTTCTAGCAACACTTATGTTGGTGGTGAACGCGTTGATTATAGTCAGCTAGCTTATGGATCATCAAGCCAGACAAATTCCGTTTATACTTATAGCGCAGGTTATAATCAGCCCATCACAAATCCAGGACAAGGTTATAACAGCGATTATACGCAAAATATGAGTTATGGAACCAGTGTTGTTAGTGGAAATAACCCAGCAATGACTCAATATTATCAGGGAATGAATAATACTGGAGGTAATAACATGGTTGATTCATCAAATTATGGAGGGTATAGTGGATATGGTTATCAAGAAGCTGCATCACAAGGAGGAGTTAACTATACGCAACAAGGAATGAATTTTAATCAAGGTTATGGTGGGGGTTATAATAATATGGGGTATGATCAAAATTTACCAGGAAGTACCCCAAATGTAAGTGGAACTAATCAGAACCCAAGTGGTAGTAATCAAAATCTAAGTGGAGTCAATCAAGACCCAAGTGCATTCAGTCAAAATCAAAGTGGATTCAACCCAAATCCAAGTGGATTAAGTCAAAATCCAAGTGTATACACCCAAAATCCAACATTAAGTAATCAAAATTCCGTTGGAAGTATTGCAAATCCAACTGGAATTGTTCAAAACCCAACTGGAATTGTCCAAAACCCAACTGGAATTGTTCAAAACCCAACTGGAACTGTTCAACAACCCATTCCCATTACACCTAATTCTTCTGGAACTATTCAAAATACAACTACACATATTCAACAACCCATTGGTGTTCCTCCAAATTCCACTGGAATTCTTCAAAATCCAACTGGAATGATTCAAAATTTAGCTGCACCTCTTCAAAGTCCATCAACGAATATTCCGAATCAAAACACAATATATCACGGCGAATACGTTCCTCAAAGTGTACATCAAGGATACTCAACAGAACCTACACAATCTCTAACTAGAACATCAATGGCAACTTGGCAAAATCTCCCGACGATTTCGAATAGTTACACTTCTACTGGAAGTCAACAAAATGCCTATGAAACATATTCAACTCCTGATAACAATTTAGATGATATATTGTCGGAGAGAATGGCCGCTTTACTTGCTAAAAATAAGCAAACGCCAAAACCGCAAGGTGCTAATGTTAATTATTCGCAATATGATTATGTGGGTTATGGGGAAAATTATCAACCTGGTTTTGTGGGAACTGATCAAGCGTCTATTTCTGGAAGTGTTCACAGTGCCCAAAGTGCTACATCTTATTGGGGCGAACAACAATCAGGTGTTGTATCTCAAGTTTCTCAACCGCAAATTGTTCAAACGTCTCAGCCACAGACATCGTTTTCGGATTCAGCTTATGGAAGTCAAAGCACGTTTAATTATTTAGACCAAAACAAATTTTCTTCTGCAAATCCAGAAGAATATCAACAATACTATCAAAATCAACCTAATTTGCAATATTATGATTATTCTCAGCAAGGTTACAGCGGCCAAAATTATTACAATTACCCGAATTATTCAACAGCTAATTACCAAACAGTTCCAACTGTTTCAACAGTACCCCAAACTCTTCAACCGACTCATTCAAACACAAGTACGACTACTAAGGATGTTTCAAAAAACTCAATTTCTCCAAAAAAAGAAAGTAGTATAGATTTATTATCTGGACTTGATTTTAATATATCCCAAGCTCCTTTGGTACCTCAAACTGAAATTAAAAAGGAAGAAAAACCACAGGAAGTAGTTGCAAAACCATCAACGATTGAAAATACGAATCCACCGAAAATGCCTGTAAAAACAGAAAGTGATGTTGTGAATAAAATTAAGAAAAAATTGGAACGTCCAAAGACTGACCCCTTCCAAAATGTAGGCGTCGTTGCAACGTTTCTTCAAGAAGTCGACAAATTTGAAAAATTTTGCGACACCTTGTTTACTAAAACTTTAAACGGACCAACTAATTTAGATTTGAAATGGAAAGAAATCCACGATCGACAAGAAAATGAGATTTATAATAAAAGCATTTCTATTGCGAGATGTTATCCATTGAAAAATCGCTTTGCTGATATTTTACCTTACGATTATAGCCGTGTTGAATTAAAAACGACTGTTGACGATTATATCAACGCGTCTTACGTAAAAGATTCGTCGCAAAATTGTCCTATTTTTATAGTAACACAAGCACCAACTCAAACAACAATAGCTGACTTTTGGGCTATGGTATTTGAACAAGAAATTGACATTGCAATTTGTCTTTTAAACAACAATGAAATTGAAAACGATGGTTATTGGCCAAAAGAAACGGGCAAAGACATTTTTATTGCAAATAAAGTAATTTCTTTAGTGAGTACAGTTACTAAAGATCATTGGGTTGAAAGAAGAATTACCGTCAGTTTACCAGAAAAAAGAAAATTTAAAACTTTAGTACATTTACAGTTTACTGCTTGGTCTGGAAGCGTTTTTTCAACAACTCCAGTTCCTTTTGTAAATTTTGTGAAAGAAACCCTAACAATATGTGATCAAATGGACGTTTGTTATCCGATTTTAGTCCATTGTTCCGCTGGAATTGGAAGAAGTGGGTTGTTTTGTGTTTTAATGGCGGCAATTCTTGAAGTTATGATTAATCCTAGTGTACTACCTGATATTCCTTTAATCAGTGGGAAAATGTCTTGTAAAAGAAGGAATATTTTAAGGGATAGAGAGCATTTGAAATTTTGTTATACAGCATTCCTTTATTATTTGAAAGAATTACAAACTAGTAAGTATCAAAACTCACTCTTAATTTTTACACTTTACAGTAAAACCTCGATATAACGAATTTCTGATATAACAGACAAAATATTTTTAAGTCATAATATTAATATTATCTATTTGATACATCAGTATATTTAAATATAAATGTTAGCTCTTATAGATAGAGTCCAAATCGGGTTATTCCTCAAGTCCAATATTCATAGATAAATTCGGGGTATTCCCCGATTTGTTTATAGGATGTATACATGAAGGACGATAGTTCTAGTTTTAATTGTTGTTCAGCGCGATGTTGCTTTTAAAACTTAGATAATTTAGAAATTTGGGGATTCCAAACGGAGCTCGAAAAATACAATCTTATAGCATAAATATTTATAAAATTTTGCGTGACTTTCATAACGAAGCCAAGCCTTTGCAACAACTCCGTCAACGTGGTCCTCAAACGTTAATTTGACATGAAGTGTAATGTCCAAGTTAAAAGAAAATCTAATAAACTATATGAAAAATGTTAAAATATAACATAACATAATAATTGGTCAATTTGCGAAGTTGAAACTACGACATATTTGTCATCGGCCGTTTTACTTAACCAAAAGAAACAAACAAAGAAAAAACAAAACATAATCATATAATGTAAGCGATTCTAACATAAATCAAATCAGTTCACTGTGGCGACATAGAACATAGATTACGTATTTTATACATTATGCAAGATTCTTTTTAAATGCACTCGGCTTTTTTCGTTTTATATGATGAGTGCAAGAATTATATATAGTTATACGGAAAGGATCTTTTATAAAAAGAGGTATGGATATGACGTGTTTGCGTCTAACGTTTATATTACACAGGGTGAGTCAGAAAGAATGGGAAATCCAAATACCGGAAATACTACAGACCAAAATATGATATTTTAACCTCACATAAATAAAAAAATAGAATATATTAGTGGTTTTCGAGGCACAGAGTTTTGAAAGTTAAATTCTTATTTCGAAATTTCTTGATAATTTTGAAGCTTTTTGTACTATTAACATAAAATTTGGTAGTTTTATGTTTTCGAACATGGGAAATACGAATTTGAAACACTGCTCGTTTGATAAATCAAACCATAAGTTTTTTGGCTGTCGAGCTACGACCAATAAGAACTACAAATCACAAAGAGTATTCAATTTTACATAAAAAAGGTACTCTTATTTAAATAGTCTAAGTCTATCGGTTTTCAAATTATTTACTTTTAAATGTATTTTTTTTGTTGGCTTATTTTTCCGCTCATGTTTCGACAACTGCTTGTTAATTGTGAACATTGATCTAATTTCTGCAATAATCATTTTTACCAACAATAAAGTTATTACCAATTTCAAAACGCCACGACATAATGAGTTTTCTAGTGAGAAATCCAGATTTAAATCCATTGGATTTTTGAATATGGTCACAATATTCTATTGTTATTAATTAATTGTTATTGTTATCGATTATTATCGTTACTAATTGCTATAGTTACTGCGTGTTATTGATTTTAATGTTAACCTTAAAATTACTTTGAAACAATTAAAAGCAGATAACTTGGAAACCAGTAGACTTAGACAATGTAAGCAAGACTACCTTTTTTGTGTAGAATTGAAAGCTCCTTCAGATTTCTGGTTCTAATTCACCATACCTCAACGGACAAAATAGTCATGACTTGATATCTCAAACGTGCAGTGTGTATCTAGCGCCCTCTATGAGTAATCACAAAATAAATTTCAAATTCGTATTTCTCATGCTCGAAAACATATAACTACCAAATTTTATGTTAATAGTACAAAAAGCTTCAAAATCATCAAGATATTTCGAAATAAGAATTTAAATTTAACTTTCAGCACCATGTGTCTTGAAAACCACCGACATTTGTATAAGAAATGTTAGGTTAAATCGTCATATTTTAGTGTCTAGTATCTCCGGTATTCGGATTTCCCATTTTATCTGACTCACCCTGTATGTATCAGTCCTAAATGTAATTTTTCTACAAAGGTATGGTGGAGAAGACAGAAATGCCACTCTATTAACTAAATATAGAAGATAATATGTGAGCCTATTTCTCATACTGAGCCAATTAACTCGTTCAAATTTACAAATACCAAAAATATATCTCCAACAACTATTTTGAACGTGCTGAATTATACTGCGATGGGCGCTGGGTAAATACCCGGCGGGTAGGTATTTATAAAATGGGTATTTACCCCGGCCCAGGATAAATACCCAAACAGTACATATAAAAGTGATACAAGTACTGCTCATTCTTCATTCTAGCGACGATGATCCGTCCAGTTCCACTTGTGCTTTGCCACAATATTGACCACATCATTTACACCAGTTCTTCTTCGTAGGACTTCATTTCGTATGTAGTTGCTCAGGGTTACACCCAGCATCGACCTCTCCATCTTTCTTTGCGTTACAGGATTCTCTGAATTCGCGGGAAGGCAGGCTCGGCCGCCCGCAGCACTTTTACCTCAGCAGATCCCTTGTACTTACTTCTCTCATTTGGTCAGCATTAGGGTCCTTCCAGCCATATTAAGTTGGAGGCAAAGGCTAGAATTTGTCCTGGTTGTGCTGCCCTGATTCCACTCATGCTAATCTGGACATCTCCAAAAATGGATAACCTTAATGTTTGGAGGGCCACGCAGTCGCATGAAATGTGTTCCGCTGATTTCTCTTCCTCACCGCATCCTCTGCAGATGTTGGTGTCACTTACTTTGCGTTACTTTGAGCCTCCTGGTAATGGCCACCGTTAATGTTAAAGTTCTTTTCAAATATACAGGAATATCACTCATGAAGATGTCTCTAAGTTTCCCGTAGACTAACCATGCGCGAGTTTAGTTCGCTTGTTTGATTATCTCTCGATACACGAACCTCATGGCCAAGATATACATAACTGTCAACTCTCTCAATCTCATTATGACCAATGTTGATGTTAGAGCTAGGAACAAAATTTGTCATCAATTTTGATTTCTCCACGTTGATCTTTTGCCCGACTCTTACGATTAGACAACTCCTGTAAGTCGTTCAGCATCAGTTTCATCTCTCTAAGGCTATCCGAAATAAGGACGATATCGTTCGCGTAGCGCAATGTTTATACCTTTTTGGGTCCAATGCAGTTGTTTAAATGCACTCTTAAGAACTGTGATGAACAATTTGGGTTCAACATTGTATCGCCTTGTCTTACTCCATGTCCAATGGGTATTCGGTCAGTACTTTTATGTAATTTTACCGTCATTGCAGTATTCTTATAATTGTTATAAATAAGTTTGGTTCTGCCATCAACTCAATTTAAATAAAATTTTATAAGTACCTCTAAATACTCATCGTGGGTAAATACCCTAGGTATATATCCAAGGAATTTTCCCTTGAAAATAAATACCCGAGTATTTAACAACACTGGATATGGGCCATACATTTATTTATTTATTTTACTTCCGAAATTACAGGGTTGCCCCTAATTACAAATTTCAGAACTTAAGTCTACTAGTACATAATATAACCAACAAAAATAACAAAACAACCAAGATCAAGCATAAATGTTAATTAACCCATCACAGAACGCGCGGAGGATATATTGAACCAAAACTTTAAAAAATGAANGAAGACAGAAATGCCACTCTATTAACTAAATATAGAAAATAATATGTGAGCCTATTTCTCATACTGAGCCAATTAACTCGTTCAAATTTACAAATACCAAAAATATATCTCCAACAACTATTTTGAACGTGCTGAATTATACTGCGTCAAATATGGGCAGTGATGGGCGCTGGGTAAATACCCGGCGGGTAGGTATTTATAAAATAGGTATTTACCCCGGCCCAGGGTAAATACCCAAACAGTACATATAAAAGTGATACAAGTACTGCTCATTTTTCATTCTAGCGACGATGATCCGCCCAGTTCCACTTGTGCTTTGTCACAATATTGACCACATCATTTACGCCAGTTCTTCTTCATAGGTCTTCATTTCGTATGTGGTCGCTCGGGGTTACATCCAGCATCGACCTCTCAATCTTTCTTTGCGTTACTGGATTCTCTGGATTCGCGGGAAGGCAGGCTTAGCCGCCCGCAGCACTTTTACCTCAGCAGATCCCTTGTACTTACTTCCCTCATTTGGTCAGCATTAGGGTCCTTCCAGCCATATTACCTTGGAGGCAAAGGCTAGAATTTGTCCTGGTTGTGCTGCCCTGACTCCACTCATGCTAATGATGATTTGAATACTGGATATTTCCAAAAATGGATAACCTTAATGTTTGGAGGGCCACGCAGTCGCATAAAATATGTTCCGCTGATTCCTCCTCCTCACCGCATCCTCTGCAGATGTCGGTGTCACTTACTTTGCGTTACTTTAAGCCTCCTGGTAATGGCCGCCGTTAATGTTAAAGTTTCGGAACCGTATGTCATAACCAAAGGGGGAAGCACGCATTGATTGAAAGCCGTTCTGGAATACAGGAATATCGCTCATGAAGATGTCTCTAAGATTCCTCGTAGACTAAGAGAGTTTAGTTCGCTTGTTTGATTATCTCTCGATACACCAACCTCATGGCCAAGATATACATAACTGTCAACTCTCTCAATCTCATTATCCCCAATGTTGATGTTAGAGCTGGGAACAAGATTTGTCATCAATTTAGATTTCTCCACGTTGATCTTTTGCCCGACTCTTAGACACCTCCTGTAAGTCGTTCAGCATCGTTTCATCTCTCCAAGGCTATCCGAAATAAGGACTATATCGTTCGCCTAGCGCAATGTTTATACCTTTTTGGGTCCAACGCAGTTGTTTAAATGCACTGTTAAGAACTGTGATGAGCAATTTGGGTTCAACATTGTATCGCCTTGTCTTACTCCATGCCCAATGGGTATTCGGTCAGTACTTTCATGCAATTTTACCGTCATTGCAGTATTCTTATAATTGTTATAAATAAGTTTGGTTCTGCCATCAACTCAATTTAAATAAAATTTTATAAATACCTCTATATACCCATCGTGGGTAAATACCCCCAGGTATATATCCAGGGAATTTTCCCTTGAAAATAAATACCCGAGTATTTAACAACACTGGATATGGGCCAGTTGCTCCATGGACAAAATTAGAAAGCACTAAACTATTTCTTTACACCGATATGAAACCTAACATCCAATATGTGCCCATGTTGGTAAATACGTCCAAGAGCACAGATTTGTGAAACGCTAACTTGAGTCGATTACCAGTCCAAGATTCCTTTTTTCTGGAAAAACTTCTATTTCTTCGTTATATAAAAGCACATTTACATCACTTGAATTTAAATTATCGATACATACTACAAGGCGTGTCCGTAAAATAAGTGTCGTTTTGAAAAAAAAAAACATAAAAACATTTTTTCAAAACAAAATTTATTTTTACTTGTAAGAGCATGTCTTAAACTGTTTTTCTACTTAGTTGCCACCATTTTCAGACATTTGTCCTAGCGGAAAACCAACTTTTCTATACCCTCTTCATGGAAAGATGCCACCAGTGACGACAAAGTTGTCTTAAAGTTTTGTTTTTTCCACTCCATCAGCTGTTGTTTACATTCTGGAGTGACATGATGAACCCAAGTTTCATCACCGGTTACAATTTTGCATAAGAATGTATCTCCTTCATCATTGTATCGAGTAAGAAATGTCAAAGTCGCTTCGTTTTGTGAACACCGTGAGCATTTTTGGAACACAATTTCCTATAATTTAATTTAATCATTTTGTGACAATGTCATGCAATACGGTGGATCAAACCGGTACTTATTTTCCGGACACGCCTCGTATTTTTGGTTTTGTTGTATTTAAATGCAATGCCATTCTATTAGAATAATCAAGTAGCGATTTGAGATTCTGTCTTGGATCTGCTGTTCTACATGTCTTGGAAAAGAAATATACAGCTTTAACAACTTGGCTGCGCCCTCACAATAAACTCGAAATCAATCTTATCGCCGTACCAGACACTCCAAGGTAATGCAACTGTGCTAGGAGGATCTAATGGATTACCTTATCGAAAGCCTTACTATAATCCGACAGTATCAGAATACTACTTTTTATCTCTAGCATTTATTATGTCATCTTAGAAAGAACTGGCAAAATACCTATGGGATTCAAATCCTAATGGAAGCGGTTTCTTAGGTAAAGGCGTTATAAGAATAACCTTAGAGGAATTGGGAAAAATACATTTTTCTATACAACAATTAACTGTATGAGTAATATATTGTATATTAGACATATTAATCTTAAGTCTCAAACTAACAACATTACAAAACACGAATAGAATAAATTAAGCTAATTGAAAATATGAAATAGTAGTTGCCTATCTATGCGTGACGTCACGAACGGGCCCAATTTGTGTGAATTAAAATTATTTATTCAAACAGTTTAAAGTGCAAATTAAAGATTTACATATAATGGACTTTTAGCTATAACGGACACTCGTATTAGTCGATTATATCGCGGTTTTACTGTATTTGTTTATTTGTAATTTAAAAATATTTGTATAAATGTAAAAAACGTCATCAGTCACGCTATTTTCTAAAATTAATCATTCTTGATTGTATGGTATAGTTAATGAGTTTGTTTTCTTTTTTTCAGCGAAAATATTTTTGCATTGACGTTTATTTCCTTCGTCTTTATAAGAATTTGTTTTAAAGATAATTTTAACGCTTACAACAAAGTCCTTGTTGACACAATTAAGTCCAATTATAAAAAAAAATATATAAAATAACACGACATAATAATATTTTTGTTTAATTTTAGGATATAAGCCAGAAACTTCTGGTCATTCAAGAAAAGCGTCAACATCATCGTTGAACATTCCTCCAGTAGTTGATGATCCATTCAGTTCACTCGATCCATTATGGGCAACTAAAAAGAAATAAATTTTAAAGTATATTATTTGAAAATTAATTTTATATCAGAAGTGCTTTAAAAGATATTTTAAACTTAAACTTAGAATTTACTGTATAGAAGTTCTTGTATTATTTCAGAATTTATTGTACTATTTACTTGTTGTAGTGAACCAACTGACGTATATCTACATTAAATTATAACTAAACTTGTAAAACATAATGTTTTATTTCAGATTGAATCCTGATTGTTCCTGCTTTTGCTTTAAAATAAGATTTGAATTAGAAAATAAATATATGCTCCATCTATACGTAAATGGTATAATTTGAACGTATCAAAACAGCGAACTGCGCGAAACTGTGATGACATCTGTTGAGAATAAAATCAGCGCCTGCCTCAAATTGCAGCTCCAAAATTGATTGTTTGTTACGTACCGAGATGCACCTCAGTCTGGGCTGGTTTTCCGACTGAAAACCGGAGTTTTCCGGGTGACGCGATATGGATTCACATCCGGTGGGTTCGGGGATGCAGCTGAGGAACTAGTAGACCGTATCCCGGTAAATCATAGTCCGGGGTTCCACAAGATTGTATAAGAAAAATAAAATAGGTGAGTCAACTATTATTTTTATTTCATTCAAAAAATAGTCGATTTCAAAATAAAAATTCAAATCGAATCAATTTTTTTAAAGATAATTCTGTAATATTTAAAAATCTAGTTATTGTACGAGTTGTCATGGTCGTTTTGATTAAAAATTAAAATCTGCCTCGTGTTATTATCGTTTGGGAATTAGGTCGACGTTTTGCATTTTTTTAAAGGCGCATTTAACGGGGTTATTTTACCGCTGGTTTTTGGAACCCTATTGTTTCCCCCGGTGCAAGGGAAAGGGTTTGAAACCGGGAGTGGTGGTAGGGGTTGTGAAATGAGTGTGCATGTTACTGCAGGGGGAAGCAAAAGCAGCAGCAGCCTCGATCGATTTTAGTTTTACGCGCGACGGGGATCGGCGAAAGTGATCGAAATGTATCGATTGAAAAATTACCCCTTACGTTTCCTTTCAATTCGTTTTTTTTTTTTTCTTTTCTCTCCCCTTTCACTTTCTGTTTTTTTTTTCTTTCATCAACCATAACCTGCCCGAAACAATAAATCATTCCACCCCCGACGAATGAATTCTTTCAGCTAAAATAAAGTATTTTAATTTTTAATTTATTCAATTTGTATTGAATAGGTTTTGATTATCATTCAAAATTTTGAGATGTTTCTGATTTCCTTGGATACTGTGAATTATTGATGCTGTGCAAGATATCCCCTTTCTCTTTGTGAACCCCTCGAACGCGATCTGTTAAAAGGGGTGTAGCCAGTAAGGAGACAGGTGACTATGTGATTTAAAGGGGCACTTTTATTGTGTTACTCCTAGGAATTTGGGTCACTCTTGCTTTTTGTCTCCGCGGCTTCCCTTAGCACCCCGTTAGCTCCTGTCGGAAACCGCGTGACATGGAAAGGGTGGACTCTCTCCGTTTCTTTCTTTATTTCAGTATGCAAATAACAATTTCCAACTTCTGATTTAATTCTGTTTACTTTTGTGAAACATGACAACTTTATAATGAGTTTTGGCAGAAAATTTTAATATTTTCCTCCGATTAAAGGTGTAATTTTTTTACTTTTATTTCTTGCAAGTCATTACTTGAACCTTTTAACTCTTTAACTTTAATGTTTCACTCGTCTAAAATTCCTCTCATGTCACAGGTGCCATGGCAACTTCACATCTTTCTTAATTCATTAAAAACGATTGCGCCACTCCTAAGGAGCGAGGGGGAGGAGAAGAAGAGCTAACATCATTTAAAGTTTCCGCAACTACATTTCCCTCCCCGTTCTCCTTTACCTCCTTGGCAACCAACGAACGCGTTGCTCCCGACTCAGTTCCAGTTACGTTATTATCATTATTTAGACATAGGCGAGGCCCTGCATTAATGAAAGTCACGGCGAATTACGCGCCAGGTTTTCCCCCAAAAGAGAAGCGAAGGGAGGGACGACGACGAAAGGGCGCGATGGGGTTTCTCGAGGGTTTGGGGGGAAACGAGCGTGGGTTAGGCAGGTGAAGTGAAAGTTTGCTCTGACGTGGATGGGGGGAAAATACGGGAGTAGGAGGGGAAAGGGGCGGCTGTTTCAGCCTTGGCCCAGGCCGAGTGGGGGGACGTCGAGTCGTCGCGCAGACACCTTGCACCCTGCAACCCTCTGCCCCCGTTCGACACTTTGCAGCCCCAAGGACGTCCTACTCTAGGTCCCTTGTGCCCTGATAAAAATCGAGCTTGCACGAAAATAGGGGGGGACGTGTAGCGGTTTTTCTCTTCGTTTTTTCCTTGGGGAGGAGAAATGATGTGTGTGATAAAAGTTGGGTTTACCTCGCTTTTTTTTTTTTAGTTGTAGGACTTAATTAGATGTTTAGAAACGGGGGTTGACCCGAAAGGAAGTGCAAAAGGACCGTCCATTCATCGGATTGCGACCGGTATTCACTATTGAACCACTTTGTGACGTCACAGAGGGACCACGTGCTCTTTTTCGTTCGGTGTAGGCTCGATGCAAATCAGTGTGCTGCCAACGGGCAGGTTCGTGACTGTTTTGTGCGGGCGGTCGAAAAAAAAATCTGAACGTGTATTTATCAGGGGAGAATATAAATTTAACCCTATCTGGCCAACCCCAGTTTTTTTTTCTGGAAAAACAACGCACGATAAGAGGGTAATGTATGGCTTGGTGGCGATTATACAGTCTGGTTGATAATTTTTTTTTAATTTATTGATAAAGAATAATATTATAACTAAACAGTTTAATAATCAGCTGTTTTACACTAAATTGACGTTCTAAATCATTTTTAATCTACACAACCTCGTCCCAAATTTAGTTTTTTATAAACGGATTTGAATCCGTGCGTTCTAAGAAAGTGCTGACACAGATTCGCGTCCCCATTTTCAATGTATATGCAACTGCAGGTCAACCAGCCGACACACTGAATGAACACGCGCGTGGACCAACAACGCTTTCCGCATTCCTTCTTTTTACACCATCATTACCGCTTTCTATTATCACCTTTCTTCAATACATCACCATTAATCTTGACTCAAATTTACTTAATTAGTCAGTTTTTAAAGCTTAATTTTTTAATGTTAGTTTGGCGGCTGCGCCTGTAAGTTTTATAAGGGGAATGTAAAGGTCGTAGGGAGTTTTCCCTCCGCCCCCTCGGTTTTCCTCGCCCCTAACCCCTCGGTTTCGCTTTTTGTCCTTCTCCCCCGCACATCCAACAGTCGGCATTCGATAACGCACGCTATGGCAACGATGTGTGCCCCACGGTTCCTACGTGTTCACGATTCTTCCCCCCTTTCGTCGTTCCCAAACGCTATTCGCGCGGCCTTAAATTCGGCTAATGCCCCCCGAAGGCCTGTGCCTGCCCCCCCATATATTCCCCCGCGCTATTCCCCGCGGCATCTAGCAGCCGAATATTACACAACGCGACGCAGAGCACGCACTGTGCGAGAGAAAAAAGCAATATTTGCAAACCTGCAGTGGCTCATTCGTTTGGACGTTGGTTTAAATCTAGATACTGGCTTCTAAAACGTTTACTTTTTTTTTCGACTGCGTCATAACCATGTACGATGAAAATCATAAGTTAAAAAAATTAACTGAAAAAAAATACTTTCATAATAATAATACTAAACTTTATAAAATTAGATCTTTTTGGCTGTCCTTGACCTGAGTTGATCCTGGAATTTTTTCTTCCTTGTTATTTATGCAGTGGCGTTTTTAGATTAGGATACCTTCCGTGTCATTGACAGAGAACTATGCGCTACCACCACTTCCCAAAACCTATTCAACTTCAAGGTCAAAACAGAAATAGCGAAATAACGCCCACAGTTACGTTTCTAAAAAAAATCCTTGCAATCAAATGAAAAAGAAAAGAGAAAAACGAAAAAGAAAAGAAAACATTAATAATTAACAACTGAAAGGGTCGATTTGCGTGCCGGATATAAGGGTGGTATCATAAATTTGTGTTTGTGCCACCTGTATGAAAAGAAAAAGAGGGAAAAGAAGTAAGTGCTAAATTCTAACCGGGGGAAAAATTAATAGGAAACTTTTTATTAAAAACCAATTTTTTTTATCATAAAAAGAAATAGAATTTCTGTCTGGGTCAACTAGGTGAAAGTTATTTCTATAACAAAACTTTTTGGTCGGCCGGTCAATAGATTTTGGGAAGTTCCAAACCTGGTAATCAACCCTACAAACTCGTGCATTATTTAAAAGCAGCTTCGTTCAGGCATCGATCTTTTCGTTGTAAATAATTTCCACATACATTTTCACTACTTTGCTTTGAATCACCTTGTATAAGCGGTTTTCGTAACCGATTAAACACTATTTGACAAGCGAACGGATGACTTTTCCTTTCCTACGTTTTTACAACACGTTACGTAACATTCATTTATTAAAAGACTTATATACACACGCAACAAAGACACCCATTCAATGTTGACACATGACTCTTTAGTTTATTATCGTAAAGTATAAAAATTATCTAAATGTTTCGTAATATACGAAGGTCTTTGCGATTGTCTTCCTTGCAACATTTTTCTGCGGACCGATCTTTATTCATGAATTTGGCCTTGACTCCGACGAGTGGCCGCTGCAAGTCAATATCCTCTCAGACGTGTGTTAGATATTGAACGAGGACGGAATTAGAAAAATCATTTGGATGCCAAAAATTTTGCGCCAAACAAAACTATTTTCAAGAACTTAACACAATTACAAAAAACAATTTAATTTTTTTTGTAAATACATACCATACGCAGCCGAGATAAGAGAGCCGAAACATTAACAACCAAACAAATCATTCAAGCCACAGAGATGAGAACCCTAAGAACTATTATAGGGTTAAGCGTCCGTGACAGAATAAGAAGCGAGATGTGGTCAGATAGACAAGATCCAGGAGAAGATACTGGAGGGATCATCAAGATAGGTGAAGAAAGATTAGCAAAGAAAATCCAAACGCAAAAACCACACATCAGGCGATTCCCAAAACCACATAAACACTGGCATGCAAATTGGACGTCGTATTACAAGATAACAACCCATACGAAAGTGGGAAGAGGAAAGAAGACGAGAAATAGAAAAACAATGGACTTTTTCCAGTATGTATTTTATTTCAAAATAATATCAAAATAAACTTAAATCATACATAAATAAACTAGAAAAAGTACCCAAAGACTAATAAGTCTATATATCAAACCCTAATAAGTCGCATTACTAAACTTCATGTTAAACTCCAAAAAAATTTAACTCTGGATTTTTGTTACGAGCTCTAGGCCAAAACGAACACCGTCCTGATGTGGATTCTACTCTACCTTGTGTTGTTTCTACCACTGGTATATTTAAAATATTACTCATAGTTTCACGGAGTTTTCGTCTTAAGGTTGGCTTTTCCAAACGTCCTAACATCTGTGGTTTAATCAGGTCTAAGGCCAATGTTTTTAGGTAACACCTTCGATTTTGCAATATTTCTTTATCATCTGCAGCACTTCTTCTCAACAGAACCATACAGTTATATCCAGTTATGTTTAGTAAGTTATAAAATAAGGAGAGACGCCAATGACGAGTTTTTCTTGCACATAAATAATCATACACTTCTACTTTGTATTTGAGGAGCAGTATGATAGAAGAAGGTTAAGGTGGAGAAGAATTTGGCTGTCTCTCCTTGATGTTTAGTAATGATGGAGGAATTTCTCTTTTATTTTTCTAAGAGTAGGTACTCATTACTGTACTTTTCTTTTTTTAAAGTTCTTTACTATAGCTATGGATGTGAACCAATTGTCCATAGTTAACGTCCTATTGGTTATATGGATATTTCCTGGCATAGAACCCTAACCTATATAAATTTCAGTGAGCACATAAGATATTTTTGCATCACAAGACATCATTATCTTTATTCCATATTTGTCAGGTTTAGCTTTATTACCCATCTATAGTTATGTATTCTAAAGGTACGTATAATTTCTTCGTTCTGTTCATGGAACGTTCAAATATATCCCGAAAAGGGCCAATTTGTCTTCAATCTTTTCTGCAATCGAGTATCTTTGTCATCAAATCTGAGATAATTGATTAAAAACTTGAAACGTGCCTTAGGCATGACTGCTCGGAATATTCTTATTCCAGCATACGTGTCAAAAGATTCTTTAGTAAAGACACCTCTCATTTTCATAGCTTTATTTCGATTTTCTCCTACTGAATTATTGTTGTAATTAGATCGCTGAACTTCAATTTCCTTGTTAGTGTATTCAACAATCAAATCCAATTTTCTTTTGTAAAACATCACTGCCAAATAGTGCCAAGCTTCTACTACGAAATTTACTTGTTCTGCTTCTTTTTGTTTCCGGGTAGATGAACTATAAGATTTCTTTTAGGGATACGATGAAAACGTCCTTTTTAGCCACTCCACTTTGAATCAATTTTTACCTTGGATTGAGACACAATTTTTCTCAGTCTCTTGCTTCGTCCACTATGAGTATCTAATTCTTCTTCACCTTCAGAATCTTTTTTGATTTTAAAATTTGAAATTACACAATCTTCGTCAAAATGATGCAAAATCTGATTCAAACATTATGCATTCTACTTCGATGATATCCTCTTTTTTAGTAAAGTAGAACATCTTTTTTTGGGATTTTTGAGATGTCAACTACTGAAAAACACAAATTTTAAATCAGATTCCGTTGGCTTGTAGCAAAATTCATTAGAAACACTGAGGCACAGGTGTATCCCAAGTAGCGTTCCAGGGTTAAAACATATTTCGATTTTGGGGTTGGGTTTGCCAGAGAGTACGTCCATGCAGACGAAAATGTGTTATGGGCAATATAGTCCTATCATATTAAAGGAAATTCATAGCCAATATTAATAATATTATTTCAAGAATGATAGAATAGTCAATTTTGCACGAGCAGAACAAAATTAAGCTAATTATGTTCTAAAATAATTAACTTTTTCATCAACAGATTTCAATTTGAAAATTTCTTCCTAACTCATCTTATTGAAATCGTCATTAAAATCTCCAATATTAATATTATGTTACTCAAGGGTTATCATTTTAGAAGAAGTCGTGTTTTTAAACATCACTTGACTAAGCGACATTTTATCATTTTTAGCGATTTTCAACTTTACGAACGGGAAAGTTCGAACTTTCAACTTTTAATTTTGACATATTTGTAAACTTCATAAAAAATCCTTTAAAATGAGCCCAAACTCGATATATTTAACTTTAATATTAATGGAAATACAACCACTTCCGGTTTGAAATGTCAACGTCAATTTTAACATATTTGTCATCTTCATTAAAAAACCTTTAAAATGAGTCCAAAGATGACGCACTTATCTCAAAAAAGAAAAAAGTTAGAATAAAAAACATTAAACCCGAAGTTAGCAACAATGAAGATAGCAATTTAATTTTTAAATATTAATACCAACCTTAATTTTTGATTTTTTTTATTATATTTTTATTTTTGTGACAAATATAAAGACATTTTATAAAAATTACGAATATGTCAAAATGACGTTGACATTTCAAACCGGAAGTTGCTTATATCTCGAGTAATATTGGAATTAAATGTATCATGTTTGGGCTCATTTTAAAGGATTTTTCACGACGATTACAAATATGTCAAAATTGACGTTGACATTCTTAACCGGAAGTTGACCAAACTTCATTAATATTGAAGATAAATATGTCGTGTTTGTACTCATTTTAAAGGATTTTTAATGAAGATTACAAATATGTTAAAATTGAGGTTGACATTTTAAATCTGAAGTTAGTTATCATATAATAGAAGTTTTATAACTGAAGTTAATCCAGCGTTAGTTACTTTTCAGCACTTTTTTTTTATTTTTAATGTGTTTTTTGGGTTGGGTCGTTAATTTTGTAAATTAGTAACTAATAATCTGATTTCGACTTTGGTATGTGATCTTTTTTAACAAAAGAAAAAGAAATATTAAGAAACTTGTTTGTAAAATGGATAGGATGAGGGATGTTAAGCTATTTGTAGAGTCTCTGAAGGGGGCCAAGGGGTGAAACTAGTTAGACTTAAATTCTATATAGAATAAAAACCAGTTGAAAAGTATAAAATCAAACTCTAGACAATTTTCTTCAAAAAAAACATCCTTTTGACTTTAGTATTTGTGATTAAATTTATGCTACGACTTATAGAAACACCCTGTATAATCGTAACGACTGACCAAACGGATTCTGTGCTTGTGATGGCTGTCATCAGTGTTCTGTGATAAAAGTGGACAGACACCAAACAATTTTCAATAGTTTGAGTCTGTCTATTCTGAGAAGTCTTATATTTTTAGAGAGATGAAAACGAAAATACCGTTTTTCTCAACATTGTTCGTTTGTCGCTTAGTCAAGTGATGCATAACGCGGTCCATTTGGCATTCTACTTTTTTCCTAACACTTTGAATGATGAATGTATAAAAATAAAATAATCAAGGACAGTTCACCTCTCATTTCCATAATTTCGTCTAAAATTAACACTAGACCTAGAACTTAAGTCTTTTGAAAAAGTGTTTGACGTCTTGAATGTTTTGGAAATAATATGCGATTATTGCTAACCCCTTGGTCTTGTCGAAATTGATGGTGTGTCCTTTATGGCATTAATGATTTGCGATTGCCAACTATTGGATCTTTAATGGGGTTAGTTTGTTTTTGGGTATCGCAAGAGCATTCTGAATTTTTCTGACCATACTGTATCGTACCACGATATTGCTTTTCTTCAAGCATCTCGCAATCCTCTCCATCACACCTGAAATATATTGGACGGAAATAAAACAATATGGTTTAGGACTCGAGTCTTCCCTCTTCTTGAGTTGTTTGATGGTTCGTTGGATATCCCTCATAGTGTGCGTCTTTTGGAGTAAATTTTGTAGAAATCTTTCCTTAAATTCCTTTTATCGCATATTCTTTCTGCTCGTTGGAACAAGGGTTGGAACGCTGACCTCTTCTGTTGTGCATGATGATTTAATGAAGACTGCAGATACCTGAAGTAATAATTTCTGGAAACCAACTTGGCATAAATTGGCAGTTGCTCTAATGCTTGTTTTGTTTGCACCTATTCATTTCCTCATAATAGGGAAGTACTTTTACATTTAGATTAATCAGATATCACTTCCCCCTACTAAGTTTTAACTCTTATAACTACAGTGATTTTACCGTTTATGTAAAAAAATGTACTTTGCTTTGGTATTATTATAATCATAGATATTTATAATAATGATAGGTGATATAGCAGCGTTTTTGAAGTTTATGAAAATTTTATTAATTTAAGTAACCACCATAGATTAATTCAAAATTGTAACCCAACAAAAAAACTTTTCTTATCGCGTAATCTCCATCATTAGGCTTATTTTCTTAGATTTTCGCCACTTTAGATATCTCACGCCACAATAGACATTCCTTGATCCAAACGATATTATCTCTATCGATACAATGCAAACCATGATTCGTATCTATCCGCGGCCTATGCATTGGCCGATAACGATAACGACAAAATGAAACGACAAATAATACATAAAAACTTTGTTATTACAACAACGATAATCGCTATCAGAAAAAAATGAAAAAAAAGATTCGTAGCGCACTGTCGCCTTATTTGCAACGAACCTTGGCGTGTCGTCCAATTTAATAATGCCTGGTTATGTTCAAAAAGCGCTTGAGGTTGTTATCTCCTTATTTACTATACGGGGTTGTTATCGCGGATGGGATAAAAAAAAATTCGGGATAGACAAACACGACTTTATCATCGGCGCAAATTAAATACATAAATGTGGGTCGAAAGATTTTCTGAGAATTTCGCTTTTTGATTTGCAAGTTTTAATCAAATTTTATTGGATGTTTGAGTATCTGCATCATTTTCTATTGGATTTCTAGACGGATAGTGGGGAAAAGTGCATTTTATTGGATAATTTATTATCTAATATTTATTTAAGAAATAGTTAAAAGTGATTGGTTACTTTCTTTTTTGCACAATTCTAAAATGGTGATGAAAGCGAAGAAATGGTGTTGCGATAAACTTTATTTGAAATGAATCTTTGTTGCAAATTTTTTTTATTTGTTTGACCTCGAGAGGACATGCACTGGCTTACGTAACCGGGCCATACGAAATAATCCCCCCTTTTTCCCCAAAAAATCCTTAACTGGTCCCCCACTCAAAAAATTTGGCAACCGGCGTCTAAGCCAACTTTTCCTGGTTAAACACAACTAACTATCGCGAAATTCGGTTGCTTTTTTTTACAACGCTTAACTTTCAAATTGATCAAATTCAAAATAATCAAAAAAAAAAAAGTTTGATGCATCCGGGCTTCTATCAACGCCTAACTACGTTTCCTGGGTATGGAAATGAGAGGTGAGTGTTTACTCATGCATTTTCAAACTGTCCTTGATTATTTTATTTTAATACATTCATCATTCAAAGTGTTAGGAAAAAAATAGAATGCCAAATAGTAATAAACTTTCAAGTATGTAACCTTGCACGCAACCAAAAACAAGTTCAAAGACCTTTTTAATTATAATTTTTGAAGATAAGATTCGAAAATTGTTTGAGGGGCATGAAAATATTTCTGCAAAAACTATTTTAAACAAATGTAATAATAGGAAATGTGCTTTTTTTGCAAACGCCGGCACCGAAACCGCACGTTCTATTTTTAAATGTAACGTTTGGTTTTCGCAGAAACCGAGCTGCAAATATTTATCCATAATAAAATAATTTTCTCTCTTGATTATCGCAGAACCCGGTAAATAATTATTTGGATAACGACAGTGTTCGATTTTTTTTTTCTTATCGATTCGATAATGAAATATGATTTTCGCTCACACGATGCAAGCATGTGGCATTATGAGTATTTTTTTATCTCAACTCACTTATTGATCGCAGGATGCTATATGTAGTAAAAATTTTATCGTAATAAGGTATTATTTAATTTGACCAAATTTTTTTATTCTCCTCGTTTATGATTCAAATCATTCAACTCATAATTTGCTCGATCACATGGCTTTTAATAATAAACGAACACATAATATATTTGGGTACAATATTAAATAAATATTGACTCATCAACAAAGTACACTTCCCGATTTACATAAGAGCGCATAACCAGATTGCGTCATAAAAACAAACAAAGAAAAAAATATATAAGTCGGTTCTTGTTTTGTAGTAAGATATATCCTATACTTTGTGTGCCTCCTTGCCACTACTGGCCACGGTTTCCGTTTTCATTTTTTGTTTCTGTTTGAGAACCACACTGTGGCGGGGATTTGCAAGGTCAATTTTTGGACAGCGCACCACTGCTAGACGAGGACAGACCGATCGCGGCCCAAAAAAAAAAGGCGATGCAAAAATAGCACTCGGCGCTAATTTATGTAATGTCTTCCTATGTAGTAGTAGTGGGGATACACGTGGAGTTTTTTTTGCGTAGTGCGAACGCGTTTGAAATACGCCGGGCAACAAAAGTTTTCGAACGATCGAAATTTTTGCATTTCGATTTTGCCCGGAAAGAGATAAGGAGGAGGGAGAAAGATGAAAATAGCTCGGAGCGCAATTATGGCGTAAGGAAAACGGGGAAGGGGAGAGAAAACCGAAAGTGTTATTCGAGGCACGTTCGCGAAAATTGCCAAACCGCATTCGGTAGACGGTTCGGCGCTGGGAGGGGATCGGGATGAAGCTATTCTACAATACCGGAAAATTGCTCCAGGATATAGCTCTATGGAAGATTCTGGGTTGCTAGGTTGATTAATACAGTTGAAGACCGAATGATAACAATTTATGAAACTGAAATTACTAATATCTTACTATAAAATACATATTACTTTAATTAATTCAAGTTTAACTTATTTTTCAATGAAAATTTTATGTTGAAGGATTTTTATTCAGTCTCTACATTACATCTACCACATTATTTTGTTACATTCGTTTTGCACATTGCGCATTTTCTTCGTTTTCCTTCAGAAGTAATGTTATACAGTAACAACTTCAACACAATTTATATGACACTTTTTTCATTATAACGAAATTTCATTATAATGAACTACGAACAATTAATTCACCCGTAGAATATAATTTCAATGCAAACTATTATCATAATTGCGACCACGAAAATTTTCCTTATCTACTCAGTCTAGATCATATTCCAGCTAGTTTTTCGTGGCTAGCTTTGGAAGTGAACAAGTTCAGACTTACTTGCTTCGCGAATATTTCAGGTTGAAGCCAAGATGAATCAAGATGTTTTTAATATTGATGAGACTGGTATTTTTTTTAATCTAATGCCAAACCGTACTTTGGATTTTAAATTCAGAAAATGTTATGGGGGCACTAAAAGCAAAGAAAGAATAACAGCAGTTTTATGCTGCAATGGAAATGCAGCATAAAACTTTTTATGCTGTAGGAAAATTAAAAAACCCAAGATGTTTAAATAAATTCAATCCTTCCCATTTGCCATGCCATTATACCGCTCAGAAAAATGTCTGGGTTACTTCTATAGCATTTCGGGAATGGCTTCTTCGCTTTCAATGCAACATGGCAGCTCTAAACAGAAAAGTGTTGTTAACAATGAACAATTGTTCAGCACGTAACGTTATGGGATTTAATTTGTGCAATGTTAACGTCGCTTATTTTCCGGTTAACACAACAAGTGCACTGCAACCTCTTGATCAAGCCATAATTGTAGCTATGCAGAAACGATATCGTGCACGACTTGTTAGAGCAGCAATTTTGGCAATAGAATCAAGCAAAGAAAAGCCAAAATGTGATGCCTACGTGATGTAGCTCGTCAGTAGCTTTTTACTTATATGCTTTACTCATTGATAACCTGAATTTGCTGATGTAGAATGGGAGAATTCAGTCAGTTCAACGAATGCAGGTTAGTTTTATTGATTACGTCAGAGTTGATGGTGCGATAAGGACTACAGAAGCAGTAGACGTAGACTTAGCAGTAGTGAATATAGACCAAGAAACCGAAGAAAAAGAAGAAGGCGAAGAACACGATGAAGAAGAAGTTAATATAATAGCACCTTTAAGAGCTGAAGTTTTAGCCGCTCTCTATACAATCCAAAGGTAACACAAATATTATTAGTTATCCAACGATGTAGTTATTAACATCACAATTTCAAGATTTTCTAATTCAGAAGAGAATTTTTCTGAAAATTTTATGGATTCTTTTTACTGAGGAATGCCCATTCTGAGGCAAAAAATAAGTGATTATTTTCAAAAAATGTTTATTATGATATAACGTACTTATTATATTAAACATATTACCATCGACTGTGTAGATGCTAATATGTTTACGTAAGCCTACCTCTAGAGCCTACCCATTATCATTCATTATAACGAATTAGTTCGTTATATCGCAAATACGAACATCTCATTATAACGAACGGTTTGCTTTCCTCCTTGCGTGTTCGCTATATCGAAGGTTTACTGTATTGAGTCTTCCTTTACACTTTGGAAAACCTGTTTTGAAGCTATCAACTGCATAGTGTTGATTTCACTTTGTTACAAAATGACTTCCACTGTTTCCATGATTTCTGTTCACTCATGATAAGTGTAACCAAATTACTTTCAGTGTTGTTCACTATTCATATTCCCTTAGATCAGTGTCTTTAAATGTAGTTACTTCATTAAGGGCCTTGGTGTGTTCTTGGACACTAATTCGCTTTTCTTCTCCCATATTGATTATGTTTTTTCAAAAGCCACCAAGCAATTAGGGTTTATTGTTCGTACATCAAGTCTATTTATATGACATATATTATGTGAGTAGTATTCTTAATTTTGGGTCTGTGGTCTGGAAACCCAGGTACAATACTCATATAAATCGGTTGGAAGCCGTGTAGCGGTGTTTTGTTCCTATGAGACGAGATGTAAGGTATTCGACTTGATTTCCTTGCAATGCAGACTTTTGCCACTGATATGGGTTTTACATATAAAGTTGTTAATGGGTATGTCGATGCGCTGGAAATCTTATCTCTATAGACTTCAATGTTCTGCAGTACCAAATTCGTGACAGTTTGGTGTTTAGGATACCTCCATCAGCATCAAACGCATTTATGTTTAATAATTTATGTAAATTATGTAACTATTTTCATTTTAGTACATTCCAATGAAATCAGCAAGAGAATTTTTGCAATGAACACTAAATTAGCATTATTTCTTCTGACCAATCAATCTAATTATGGATTGAATACAAAGCACATTAAATTCGGCTCGACCTAACTGTATTTTGCCAAAAAATATATCTATTAGAAAGTGTTACTATCCAGTCTTGTTCACTGCCGAGTTGAAGATGTTGAATCCATTAACATTACCAGTTAAATGACCAACCTCAGAAATCTTTGCATTATTTTGAATCTAGAATAATTTAACAAATGCAAGAAAAATTCAGTCTTACAACCAAATTGGTCGAGAGCGGTGCTTAAATTACTTCTTCAATATGAATTCTGATAGTACAAAAAAGTATAATTTATCTAATCCAGCCATATTTAGTAATTTAATAATAAATTTAGTGAATTTAGAAACCTGCTTTCTGATACATGTAATTATGGAGGAAATATCTGCCTTAATAAGGGAAATTGCACTAAAACCACAGTTCAGAAAAATAATTATTTTTATTGTAGTATAGTTCAATGTATGCAGTTATTACTGGATCTAATTTAACACTGAATTGTCTAAATGCCATTGTCCACCATCTAGCACTGTTCATTGCCCAAGTGAATTAACCCAATCCATCAAAATTTCAGTTTTGTGTTGCAATTTCTCGCTGTATTCCAACTTGAATAATCTTTAAGTATTTTGACCATATAGGTAAATTTCAATACAACGCAGAAAGAGAGTGCACAAAGCAGAAAAATTGTTGACTGGATTCATTCTCAAATCTTGTTCAAGATCTGAATTAACATTTTTTCTTTTCTGCCAAGCCTATTATTCCCGGTTTATATTATTCTAATACTATTCCAGTTCAGTGATCAAAATCGAAACAGATTTCACTAAAATGCACTCATTCCAGTAAGCAATCCAGTCCAGTGACTGGATTGAACGCTCTACTTTTTCACTACAGCTCACCCATTCCATCGCCTCTGGAATAGTGTAGACGGCCAATCCAGTGCTGGATACGTTGAATAGTGAATAAGCTTTTTTGGAAACAAGCATTGTTGTAGTTCCATAATGAAATTAACTGAAAACTAAACTCTTCAGTTTGTTTCTTTATACAAAAAATAAGTGTGTTTGTAGAGTTACTTTATTAATATTTAATAAATACCATCATTCTCCATCTAGAATTCATTCTGATGATCGAACTGGAATAAATTGTATTGTATTCTAATTCTAACACACTGCAGCTAACATAAAGAGACATTTTG